AAAAAAATCTGATTTAAATAAAAAAATCTGATTTTATTTTATTTTTTTTAAATAATTTATTTTTATCCACCCTGCTTTTAAATGTATTTAACTTTGCAAACACCCTTGTGAGGTTGGGGGAAATGCTATTATACCCATTATACCAATGGGGAAGACTAAGGCATGGAACATAGGAGCCTAAATACTTTTGAGGATCTAGGCCGAAATGACTTGCCCAAGATCTCATGGGGGAATCTGTGGGCGGGCAGGGAAATACTCCATCATCCAGAAACAACCATAGATAAATTTGTGATAAGAACCAGCAGATTACAAAAAGAGGTAATTGATTAAAAAATTGCCCAGTTTGTTTATGCAACAAACTCTCCTTTCCAAATTGAGAAATCGTTTCGGACCTGAAAAAGCAGGAAAGCTTGTTTTTCTTTTCCAGATTATGAACAAACAGGAAAATGAAGGTGAAGACGACTGAGTTAGCTGCAGAAGCCAATATTTTAAGATTCTCATGTTAACCTAGCTGACAGTATATTTATTTATTTTTTAATATTTCATTTAACTATTTTTGTTAAAAACAATTTTAACAAAAACCTGATCTTAAAAAACGTTAATGTTTAACTAAATTCAAAAATTCATATACTTGTTTTGTTAAAATATTATATGTTTCCTGTTGAAGAAAAACATCCAGAATACATAGCGTTGTTGTTTTAGTTAAATAAAATAATTTAAATGTCTGTCTGGTGATGTTCTCCTCCTAATACAGCATGGCAAGAAAATCCTCCAAGTATTAATGATTAACCTGTTGAATTGGAGATAGTTTACCTCCCAATGACTTCATAAATATCTGCTTCAATTACCTTTGGTAAATGAAATAACCAATCATTTATTTTCTAATATAGCTGTAAAACTAATCTGAAAAGTTTTCAAAATAAATCACTTTAAAAATGTATAGTGTGTACCTTCTAAAAATGAAACCTACATCTATCTCTGAGTTGTGAAGAACATGTATTAAGGTTATAACAACCAACAAGAATGCACTTTTATGTAGAAATCCATGATTAAATCGAGTCTTCCCAACTAGTGATTTAAATCAATCACCCTGATTAAAATAGTGTGAGATGTTCATATACCATGGCAGTGATGGCTAGATAAATAACTAAGATAGATAGATGCACTCTGACAAAAGAAGAGCATGATACTCAGTGCAGAATAGAGAGAAAAATGCTCCTTATATAACAGATAACGCTAATTACTGCAGTACAGTGCCTGTTTTTTGGCCAATGCTTTACTTAGGTACCTCATTAAGGTGAGGGAATTTACACAGAATGGTTCTGTTGATCTTTATAATAAACCCCTCTCAGCATGTACATTTCACTTGAAAAAGAAAGTTTAGTGAATACGGCCCAAGCTGTGATACAGCACTCACGTTGTGCCCTTCTGATTTACGACGCCTGCAGAACCCTTCCAATGAATTACGCTTTGTATTCAACAGAGAACTACACATTATTCTGAGTTTATGCATGCTAGGAAGAAAGAAATGTGAGTCAAGACAAGGAATGAAAATGGATGCATTACTTCATGCTCTCAGGCAAAAACCACCTGTAGAGATGCCACAAATCAGAGTTATTAAGGAAAATTATTGCTGCAGAAAACAGTTCTGGTTTGATAGGCAAGAATGAAAGAGATACAATAGCTACAGAACTCTTTATGGCAGTATCAAAACTGCTACACCAAAAGATAACTGACTTGTCAAAAGGCAGATTCTACTGGCATTTTAAGAGCATTCATGCAGACTGAAAGCTAATGGAAAGAGCAGTATGAAGGTACTGGCCGTCACTTCTTCATTAAAGTTAATGCCAGAGTTCCAGTACAAGGCTGACTTTGACTCATTCTCTAACTTTCTTGATGAAGGAACTATGATTCTGAATTTTTGGTGTGTGTGAACTTTTCCCCACAGAAGTTTAGGATAAGAAATAGTTATATAGAGAAAGAGGAAAAATATTCTCTTCTAAAACAGGATGACTTCCAAGATTTTCCATCCACTGAACACTGGGGGGATTTGTTGGTGTGTGATTTGGTTTTAGTTTGGGGGGGTTTTGCACAAGTTCATTCATTTTAAAAACACTGTCTGTAGTATATAATACTTTCTAGATGATTTCCCAAATCTGAAGTTATGCACCATCACTCATTAAAAATATGACAATCTTTTTCTATATGAAGTACAAAGTGACCATTGGTCACTCCATAATTATGATTGTCTAAAGCAGGAGTTTGAGTCCTCCCTAAAATGAACATACATAGTGAAAGTGACTTGAAAACCCATATGCTAGCTCACGAATTGGGGTATAGTTTATAGTATACATTTGAGAGTCATTTAATCAAAAGATTTCAGAGTGGTAGCCATGTTAGTCTGTATCAGCAAAAACAATGAGGCGTCCTTGTGGCACCTTAGAGACTAACAAATTTATTTGGGCATAAGCTTTCGTGGGCTAAAACCCATTTCATCAGACGAATGGAGTGAAAAATACAAACAGTATAAATATTACAGCACATGAAAAGATGGGAGTTGCCTTACCAAGTGGGGGGGGGGGGGTCATTGCTAAGGAGGCCAATTCAATTAAGGTGGAAGTGGTCTATTCTCAACAGTTGACAAGAAGGGGTGAATATCAAGAGAGGGAAAATTACTTTTGTAGCGCTAACGAGGCCAATGCAAAAGGATTCCCAAGCCAATCTCTCTCCAAAGTGACCCGTTTTTAAAATTTGGAAAGTCTATCGCTTTTTTGGAACACATACTGAATAAAAAAACATGGGCAGAAGCCACAGGATACTTGTATCCTTGGGATACCCTGCAAGAGCTAGTGTCTGGAACAATAACCAGTTCCAAAACCTAACAACAGAAAGTAACTAGAGTTTGTTTTGGTCCTACAAGTGATGAGGATTGCTGAGATCTCTGGCAATGTGCAGACTCCAGGTCAAAACTCAGAGAGAGTGATCTCCCAGAAAATACTTTTAGTCTAAAAGGTGCACTGGCCTGGGCGCCAGGAGACCATGAAATCAAGTCTCCTCCTCCACTGACTGCTTTTAATATTTGTGTGCTCTTCATAACTTATACTGACCAAGGCCTGATACTCCTGCTCTAGGGCCAGGGAATTGTTATTTTCCCTCAATTTTACAGATAAGGTAACTGAGAAGTTACACAAAGAAGGGAAGGAAGGCCCAGTTGTTAGGGTACTAGTCTAGGTCTCAGAGACCCGAGTTCAATTGTGCTACAAACTTCCTGTGTAACATTGGGCAAGTCCCTTAGTCTTTCTAAGTCTCAGATTGCCATCTGCAACATGGAATGTTGTGAAAATAAAATACATTAAAGATTAGGAGGCACCGAGATACTGCAAAAAATGGAGGCTACATAATACCGGTAGAACACTGGTCTTGAATATGGCAGACGCAACCTTCATTCACTTAGCCGTTCGATAAATGTGTTAAATCTGTATGCTTAGCTATCCTGCCTGTACCACTGCTTTAACCACTAAACCAGACTGCTTGAAATCAAACCAGAAAGACACTCCAGAAATCCTAATTTCCAAAATCATACTATTGTCTAGCAAAAACTGTGCAATTCACTACGAAAGTGTGTGTCAACTTTCTGGTTAGAGGTCCACCATGTGCATATGAAGATCTCAAGTTCAGACTCTGCCAACAACCAATGCGGGAGCAATCACTGTTCCACATGATGGCATTTCTTTTTTCCCAATTTAATATTTTAAAAGTCCAATCAGCCTGTAAATTAATAGATTAGAGGCCAAATTATGTGCTCAGTTATGCTTTCTGCATGTCTATCCCTATCCCTATCAAGTGTGCAAGAGACACAGCTGAATTGCCTTAGCACATAGGTGCACATGATGGAATTTCAGTGTAATGTCTGTGCATAGCAACTGAAGCATCAGGAAAAAAAATGATGATCCTGTGATTAAGGCAGTGGACTGGGAACCGAACGAGGGGAACCAGTGTTCAATTCTTGGCTCAGCCATGGACTTCCTGAGAGATCTTGGCCAAGTCATTTAATCTCTCTGCTTCAGTTTCCACAACTGTAGGCTACTTTGGATCTTCAGAAGCCTGACAAGCATAGTTTGACTCATGGAGATTTAAGGAGCCAATTTTGGCTGGTTTGGGGGTGAGAAAACTTCTAAGGCTGTGGAAGGATTCCACATTCACATCATCCCTGCTCCAGTGAAGGGGCACACTGTAGGAGGTCACTGGGGGATATCTGGGGAAGGCATAGACCTGAGGACTAGCACTGTGTTTGGAGTAATGTATATTTAAAATAGCCAACAGTGATTAAGCTCTTCCCTTTGACAAGATGGTAAAAAAGCCAACCTGTACGCAGGCTCTCTCTGCAACATGGTTCCTGATTATAGCTGTATTTTACATCCTCTCTAAAGTACATACACATAGTGGATTCCTTCTTTACTCCGAGATTTGGCTCCACAACACAGGCTGTATAGCTCTGAGGCACAGTTCATCCATTATAATCCACAGCCCTAAGGTAGGATTTAATGTCACTTTACTGTGGAGTCAAGTGTCATGTTTAGAAGGAGAAAATAAGAGATTAGAGAGGAAGTAAACCTGTTTTCTGTAATTATCTCTGAGTATTCTGGGGACTTGTAAAGCCAATGCAGACTGTAAATGCAACTGCAGTAACCTGTTAGGTAAAATGCACCAAACAAGCAAGAGCCTACAGCTGATGAGAGAACATCCAGCTTGCCTGACTGAAACCTCATTAACATGGATAAAACAAGCTCAGTGTGAATCAACAGGCTCTGATGAACAAATCCATCTTCACATCTTTGATGCAAGAATTAGGGTCAATAGGATAAACTAAGATGTTCAGAATGGCGTCTGAAGCCCGCAATGCTGGGCTGCTGAGGAAGGGGAGCTCTAAGTCCAACTCAGGTCACTCCCAGAAACTGAGTCAAACCTTACAAGCATCAGGTGAGAAAATACTTTATTACCTATGGTATCAGGCTCAGTCCATCCTCCGTCATGGATTTGCTTTAGAAGAGAATACAGCAGCCTCCAAATCTGCAAACTCTATGAAAGATCAGAAAGGAAACATCAGCATTCGGAAGAGTTGCCATGTATTTGTCTTTAACTACTCAGCACTGGCCATTGCCTGGAACAACACAAGGTGCCCACTCAGCAAGAAAAGAGGGGAAAGGATAGGCAGGTACTTGTATTGCCCTGTGCTTCCTCAGATTAATGGCAATAACATGAAGATTGTGCATTCAGCAAAGGAAAGTGTTACAGGGTTGTTGACTGCCTGGAACAATTGGGCACCTCTCTCCCACAACCACACAACAGCACTGTTTCTAAAAAGGCACAGCCACATACAGCACACTTTATACTTACACTTGTACCAGTTCGTTCTGGGATGCCTGAAATAAATGTCCTATAATGCTGCAAGAGCAGGGGCTATAGGGTAATTTGTAAACACCAGGCATTGCATTGTGGGCTATTATTATGAGAACTAGCTCAACCAATGTAGTTAGAAGCTAGGATAGCACAGTTACAGACTATGACAGTTTAAGGCAAGCCCGCCTACAAGGAATTGCAGCCAACATTTGTAAAATGCCTAGACAAATACAAAACAGCCTATATGCAGAGATAGGTCAAGGCCTTTCCGCCAATAGAGTTTCCAAAGCCCTAGCACAGAGGGGGCCTAAGATTGTTCAGGATAAGGGGAGGGAAGTATACTCTGAGTGACCAGCAGAATGTGCTGCACACCAGAGGGAAGTGTCAAGCTTCAATTCGGGGGGGGGCGGGGGGGGGGGGAAGAGAAGAAAATAGAAGTTTCCAGGAAATTCTCCAAGAGCAGGAATTTTTCAGAGCTTCTGAACAAGATTCTAAGCAAGAGAAGACATGGAAAGAGATCATCCTACCGAAAAGAAAGGAAGGGCAGCATGGAGACAAGGGAGACTATTTTGCTCTTGGATTTAGATTATTTCCCTCTAATGTAAATGGAAGTTGATCATGCATATCTGGCTGTCTGGGCTTTTTATTTCCCAACATGGAGGGAGGAGGAAGCTGGAGTCATTACAGGGATGGCTGACGTACCATGACTAAAGGGCCTCAGGTGGGTTATGAGGGGTACCTTCATACCTACAGAATCAAGGCTTCAGAGGGAATGTGACTGTCAGGCACGGGAGAGGGAAAGGGTATGCTTCCCTAGATTTGAAAGGTAATTCAAATTAAGGCAGAGTGTGAATTTAGAGCACCAGAACTATTCCTGAATAACTCTGTATGTGGCGATTCTCAGTACAGAATAAGGGCGTCCACACATTGAGTTATTCAGCAGTTATTCCAGAATAACTCCATGTGTAGACAAACCCTTAGGAGTTGACATTACAGGGATCACAGCAGAGGGGTGCCAACGCTACCAGGTGGTGACAAGCTAGTGAAGAACACCATGGAGTGCTGGAGGGCACAGATACACAGAGTTGTACAGAACAGCTATACGAACAGTATGGAGGCATTATTTTAATGAGAACTAGCGAGTAACATTGAATATTCATACAGCACCGTCCCATCCACACACCTTAAAGTGTTTTATACTGCTCACTGAGTGTTATTATTCCTCCTTTACAGCAGGCAAAACTGATGCACAGACCTTGTTGCCACTGGGGATTTGTTCCAACCCCACTCACTGGTGTAGCTGCCCAGTGCAGACCCTATTACAAGCAAAGCTGTTACAGGCCACAATTTGCACCACAGCAGTGTGACCTGGTTGCACACTGGGCTGAGTGGCAAACTGTGCTTATATCAGCTACGCCTGTCTCACCAGGGGCTTGCAACTGGGCACCTATGCCAAAGGCAGGAATACCCAGCATGAAGAAAGCCTGAGAGCATAGGTTTCAGAGTAACAGCCGTGTTAGTCTGTATCCGCAAAAAGAAGAACAGGAGTACTTGTGGCATCTTAGAGACTAACAAATTTATTAGAGCA